AACTTAATTCAGGTTATATTTTCAAGTAAAACCTTGTTTAAATGATCTACTTTCCCGTATGCTATAAATAGAGTAATGCATTTTTGACTTAATGGGAACAATATCCTACATCGTGAACCCTTAACATTCGACAAGAGAAACCAATATAAATAATAAAATGTATATATTAACGTATATAATTTTAGGACTATTGTATGCAATCCCATGCTTATATTATAAATATTATCTATAAGTTTTATGATATTACTTTATTCAACAATATACTATATACAAATAATGTATATCAATATAATAGAATATTTAATAAAAATATATGTTAAAGGATATAATGTATATTATTTATATTAATTTTATTGCACTCATTTGTTAATTAAAATTTTTATATAATAATTATATTAAAAAGTATTTACCAACAATATTATTGTAGCATTCATTTAATAATTCAGATATTCATTAAGGTCATTTATATTTCAAAAATATAGTACAAACAAAGAACAATAAAATAAAACATAAAAAACAAGATCATAATATTTTTCTCCATCATAATTTAGCTAAGATTCTCCTCAATTTTTTTATATACTATTTTTATAATACAAATTTATAAGTGAAATTGTCAATAATAAAAACCATTTTAGCTGCCATTTTGTATTTTTTTTTCTTTTACTTTACTTTTTATTTATTGAATTTTATATAAATTTTTTTTAATATAAATATATATATATATATAAAATATATACAATATGTGGTATATTCAAATTATACATATATATCTGTATGATATATATATATATATATATAAATGATATATATGGAATATGTTATATACATCATATATATGATACAAATGAAATTATATGTATCAAATATATGATATATATGATATATGCCATATAAATCATATATATCATAATTTATATATATGCATTTAAGTATATGTGTATATTTCAATTATAGCTGGTATACATTTTTATATATATACATACATATATAGAATATATATACATATATATTAAATTGTAAATACATATTTAATTATTTTTTTCATAATCCATATGATACATATACGAATAAAGTACACGATGTCTTGAAATTTTTTAATTCTAAAATATAATTTTTAGTAACATGTATATGTATGAGTTTATATTTACACCTACAAGAATATTTTTATATATATTTTTCATTTATATATATACTTATTTTTTTTTTGTTTTTGTAATATTATATTTTGTAATTTACATACTGTTTTCATAAATATTTATATATGTACATATATGGGTTATATAACATTTTATGTTTACATTTTCACTTATATTTTCTAATTATATTTTTAAATTACAATAATAATGATATAATATAATTTAATAATTTAATAATTTTTGCTAAACATTAAATTAATATTCATGCATTTTTTGAATTTTACTTTGTAAATATGAAATAAATTGTGAATATTTTATTTATTTTTATTTTTTAATAATTTACTTTAATAATTCATTATGTTCGACATTTATTATAAGATGTGTGTTGTTTTATTATAACATTATGTATGTAAATATGAGTTCAATGTTTAAAATAATTGTGATTGAGAATAATAATTAACATTCTCATATATTTATATTAATAATTATTATTTTAATTTATTTGATATTTTAATTTATCATAATTTGTATATAAGATGTTAATACTTTTTGATGGTTAATTTCTTTGTTGTTGTTTTTTCCTTTATTTTTATATATGTATATTCCATTTAAAAATTAGTTATTAATTCCCATTTAAATTTTTAGCGTTTAATAATTTTTGTTCATATTTTTGTTTTGTTTTTTTTTTTGCTTTTTATTTTGTTAAATGAATAAATTTGTCTAAAAATACCATATTTTTTTTTAGTTTTTTTTAATTACATTATTCTTAATTTCTACATTTATAATAGATATATATATATTTATTTTTATTTGTATATTTTATTTTTTTTAAACATTTATTGAAGAATTTGTTATTGAATCTGAAAAATTTATAGTACAGTGATATATTCTAATAATAATATATTTGTGTGTTATTTTTTTTTGAATCATATATATTGTGATATATAAATAAAGAATATTGTGAAAAAAATTCATGTTTTCTTTATTTAAAATTTTTATCCGGTTTAATATTTATTTTGATTAGAATTTTGTGTGTTAAGCATTTATTCCAACAAAATGTTGATAAATATGGTTGTATTAAAATTGCAATTTGTATTATGCAATAAAGTTGGAATGCTATATTGAAACACAAGTTATTCTGTCACAAAGTAACTATAGTAAACCGGATTTTCTGACTTTTACTAATTTTCTATTTTTTCTGAATTTTATTTTTTCTTAGATTTAAAATAATGTATATTTTTTTATTTGATTATCTAATTATTTATTTCAAATATTTACTCTTTTTTTTTTATAATATTGTGAAATATTGTAAAACATTTAAATGAAGATTATATTGTGAATTGAAATCTTATAATTCTATATTGTGAATTAATTTTTTTTTAATTTTTATTTAATTTTGGTATTTCTTTTTTTTTTGTTTTGATGTAACTGATGAAATATCAGAAAATATTTTGGGTTATATATGCATTAATTTTGATTTTTTTTTTTTAATTTTAATTTTTTAATATTTTTTCCCACAGAATTAAATATATTATGTAAATTGATGATAAGAAACAAAAATATTTTCTAAACATATTTATACGTTTATTTTTTTTACATATCTACTATATATATTTAAATATTGTACAATAAACTAATTTCTTAATATTTTCATTTTTGTATATTCATGTTATAAATTTTAATAATTTTCTGTTTTTCTTTTTTTTAAATTTAATTTTAAATTAGATGAAACAAGTCCCTTTAAATAGCCAAACATTTCTAATTAAATTTACAGAATTTTTTATGTTACATAATTTATTTTTGTTGTTTATTTAAATTGTTTTTATATAAAGTCTTTTAAAAAATTATATTTGTTTTGAAATCTTTATATTGCAAAATAAAAAGAAATTGATTATAATAATTTATAACTATTTATTATAATTTATAAAATACATAAGATGATTCTTAAATAAGTAATTGATGCTCCAAGTATTTAAAAGATATTATAATGTGTTTTAGTTTATTTCTTAAGTTTTTTTTTTTTGAAATCCAGTTTTATTTTAATGTTAAATATTTATAAGATTAACCTATAATAATTATTTTATTGACTATATTTTATTAACATAGGTTTTTGTGTGTATTGTCAGAAAGAAATTAATTAATACTACAATAATGTGAAAAAATATAATAAATATTATAATACTCTAATAAATAATTGAGTTTGAAATTAAAATTAAATAGTTTGGGTAAATTAAGGGCCTTTCGAATGTACATATATATGTATATATATGCATTTATATTAAGATATATTATAATTTCTAAATACAGCTTTTATTTTAAATTTTATATTTACTGTTTTTGTTTTTTTTTCACATTATTTATATAATTTATTTTATATGATGGAAGATATTATATAAAATACAAATTTTTAATAAATTTTTAATAAAACATAAAGCATATATGAATTTTAACATATATATAGATACAATAACGTATATAATATCGAAAACCCTTCTAGAACCTATATATAAAATAAATAACGTATGAGTATAAGTTTATAATTTTCATGAAATTGTGAAAATTGCGATTCTGATTAGATGAAATAATATACATTACATTATATAGTGTTGAAAATGTATATATGTATACACAGAATAATAGTTGTAAATATATATAAATTCATACTTATTTAAAGTTGAATATAAATGTAGGTTCTAAACCCATTCGGGAGTTTATTATTAGTAGTTAGTTATACAGTACAAAAGTAGTAAAAAAAATTATAAAAAGCTTATATAAAACGAAATTAATGCTATTAAATTAATTGGAAAAGAAATTTAAGATTTAGTTCTATAACTTTGTACAGATAATTTACAAAAAAAAATTAATATTTATTTTAATTAAATTTACATGTAGTCTTTAAGAAGACATTTGCAAGTTTCAAGAAATTAATAAATAAGGTTATGTTTTTCTTAAAATTGCTTTTTAATTTTTTGACTATGAAGCTTATATTATTTTTCAATTGATATTTTTATATATGAATTTTTTAATTAATAATTCTATTTAATTTTTAAAAATCATAATTATTACTGTGAAATTATATTGAACTACTATATGTAAGCCTATAATATATTGAATATATTTTTATATATATATTTTATATAAATAAATATTTATATATGTATTTTTAATTGTTTATATTATAGTATATATGGTTAATTTTCAATCTCTTATTTAGCATTTCTATTATATAGTATTCTTATATTACTATCAAATCTTTAATACACACAATCACGAACTTAATTCATATTTTTATACAAAATAAAATTTTTATTTTGTTCGTTAAATTACAATCATAATGGTCCAAGATGCTAATAACACTATATATATATATATATAGTTCTTTTCATTTTTAGTGTTCCTTTATTTTTTATATTTTATTTTGTTAAATGTAGTCTAATATTCTTCCACAATAGTACAATGATATTTACTTTTATATATATATATATATATATATATTTGTATAGATATTTCTAAGATAAGTTTTTAATCTATTGAATATTATTCTGTGAACATAATATAATTACATAATCAAATAATAGCTATATATATATATTAAATATAAAACTGAAGAAATGAAAATAACTTAAAAATTTCAAATACAATTTTTATTAATTAATATTTTTGATATTATATTTATATATAATTATAATTATTGAATAATTTATACATATTTATATATAATTTTTGAAAGATTTGGTAAATATACAAATATTTGTTATTAAATGAAATTTTATGTAAAATTCAAAATTATTTGAAGAATTTTTGTTTAAAATTTTTCATTGTTATAAAACATATACAGTGGGGCTTTATGAATACCAAAATTATATAATAATATTATTATTTTATTTATATATGAGTATGAAAATATATAATGTAAAACTTATTAGAATAATTAGAAAAAAATATAATTAGTTTTGGTTGTAGAAAATTTTTTTTACTTTCTTTTTTTTTTAGTAGAAGCAAATTTCTTTTCTTTATATTTTGGTTGTTTCAGCTTACATTCTTTCATTTTAAGTTTTTAATGAGTTTATAATGAGTTTTGAAAAAAAAAATAATAATTTACTTTATTGTTATTAAAAAAATTAAATTCATGTTTATAAAATCATTTAAAAAAAAAATAAAATTAATTTTCCGTTTTCTTAAATTTTCCATCAGAATCATTTTTAAAGACCAATTTCTCGCATAACACGATACAAGCACGGATTTTTAAGACATTCCTTTGGTCCAAGTTGTGGTCCAGGTGTTCCTCTTAATATCATTAAAACTGATCTTGCCGCTGACTGACAATCACTATTATGACCGCAAATACTATCGGCATCTGATAAATATTGTAAGTCGCATGCAACAGGTGATATTCCCTAAAATATTTGAAATTCATTTTTATAATTCAAAAATCCATAATTTCTTTCTTAATTGAAAGACAATTTTTATATATACACTTACACATAAATAACATAATTCATGAACTCCACAAATTGGTAAAAGATCTTGATGTATATCTCCGCTTAATATATCAACATTTCTACAACGTTCTGACATTGAATCAATTATTGGGCATTGATTTATAGAAAGTGGTCCATTATTTTGTCGTCCTAAATAAACGTCATTGTGTGGCTCAAAATGGCCAGCACCCAATTCTTCTTCAAATTCACTTAATTCATTTGGTGTATCAGAAAATCTTATGCTACCACCACCATTTCTTTTCTTTTTGCGTTTTCTTTCTTCGTCATCATCATCTTTTAAATTGTTATCGGATCCTTCAGTTTGTTTTTCAGAAGTATCAGGTTGTCGATGCCTAAGAATACAAAAAACAAAAATAAGATAATGTACCCTTAAAAATTGAAATACCAATTATTTACTCATTTTCAAATTCCACTTTCTCTTTTTTTACAGACAATCTTTTAGCAGCAGCTGCTTTTTCTCTTTCTTTAGTATCATCTTCAAGAGCTTCGATTTCGTTACGTGATAAATGATTTTCGTTTTCAACAGATTCCCTTAATTTTTCCAAAGCTCTCCTCATCTTTTCCAAATTATAAGCTGTCGCCAATCTTGACAAAACATGATCCTTTAATTCACGAATCTTTTCTGGATCTCTGATACCTTCATGTGCGCCTGTATATTTAATAGTTTCATCAATTATAAGATCTTCAATTGATTTTAGTTTACTGTCCATTTGATCCAATTTCTCTTCACTAAAATTTCTTTTTCTCCGCTTTTCGTCAGCTAACAAATCAATTGGACTTCGTTTTTTTAGTGGAACCCTAGAATTATTAAATAAAATTTTTTAGAAGAATTTTGGAAGAAAATTCAAAAACATAATTTCAAGTTTAAAAACCCCGACTGATTAAAGGTTGTTTCAAAACCTTATAACCGTATTTTTGTGAAATGACACGATAAGTGCGATTGGCTTGATCTAATCTAAGTATAATATAAAATTGAACCCATTTCGTACAGCTTTAGCAAATTTTTAATGTTATCTATTATGTGTTTGATGAGTTCAACACGCAAAATAAAATTTATTCAATTTTAATCAAATATTTAGAGCGAATGCACTTATCATGCAATGTACAATTCCTTAAAGTGGCTTCTAGATATTGAGAGTCACGAAATTCCAGAGTTTCGAGTTTCGCATTTGAAATATTTATAAATGATTTTATTAAAAGATGAGGAACTTACATTTTTTTACTCTTCTTTAGTGGAAAAATTGACTTCTTCCTCCTATCCAAGCCAAAATAATTCGACCAATCAATTGATTTCTTTTTCGGAGATTCCAAATCACCCGGAATAATTTGGTCTTCCTTCACAACTTCCAAATTTGCACGTTTCTTTTTAGTGGCAGCAGGAACTTCACTAGTTTTTTTAATATTCTTCTTATCAGCAACACTACGTTTTTTCTTTTTTTCATCATCTTCTTCCTCACTAACATGTTCATGTGATTGATCTTCATGTTCCTCCTCATGTGACTCGTCAATATGTTCCTCTTCTGATTCACGAGACTCACTAGAATCATCATTATGATGCCGATGATCCCCAGTTCCACTGGCCTGATGATGTTCTCCATGATGATTATGTGAACTGTGATCCGCATTTGAGGATACTGGTTTGGCATTTCTTTTTTCTTGAATATGATTGTCTTCATGAGATTTATCAGTTGAAATAGTTGTAGAAATTCCAGCTGATACTGTAGTTTCAGAAGAAGTGGAACTCGGTAGTGGGCTGACTGATCTCTTTTTTTTCTCTTCACCTGTCGGACCAAATATAGCTTGTAAATCTTTTGAAATCTGATCATTTCCATTTGCTTCATTAGATGTACTAAACGGTTTCATTGGCATTTTTGGTGATCGTTTTGCTACCGGGAATCGTTTCTTCTTGTTATAGGGTAACCATGGAAGAACTGGATACGATCGTTTTCTTTGCATTAGAGGACCAATATATTGATTACCAACTGCGTCACTTTCTGGAACTAAAAATCTTTTTCTTTTTTCATCCTCAAAGAGTTCATCTTCAATTTCGTTCTCTTGCTGTTGATATTTTTCCCAAAGATTTTTTAATGCTTCCTTATATCGTTCCTCACGCTCTAAATCCCGTTCTTCTTCTATTTCCCGTAAAAATTTCTCAGTTAGTTCTTGCTGATTATTTCTCGGGAACTCACGTTCACGAAACACTGAGCCCATATATTGTGGTTCTAAAAAATATTAAAAAATTTACAACTTTTAATACTTTTCAAAATTTTCAGAATTCTAATATTTTTATCTAGGAATTTATTCATATTATTTGGCGTCTAAATATATAATAAAGAAAACTAAAAACCAATGGAACAAAATAACTTTCAGAGAAATTCTGCTTTAACGATTATTAAACAAAACAAACTATCCATAATACCACGCAATCTCGTATTTGATTTTGAAATTTCAATATCTGATGTCAACAAATTGTGATAAAATTAACTGCGATGAAAGGAATGCTTTTCTAAACTCCACCTTTGAGTTTATTTTATTCTTTTGAGGTGATACAAAAGCATACTATTTAAAAAATTTTTTAATAAATTTTTTATTTAACTTTTAGGTATCAGAAAATTTTTGCTGATTCAATAATACCAATGTCTTTAGCAAATATTTTAACTGAAAGTTTTTCATTAGTATTGCATCTACATTATTGTTCGCATTACGACTTTTATTGTTCGCATCTCAAAACATCTTTTTCCAACTCTCTCGTACTACATTATTTCTTAATAAGTAGACCTTTTTTAAATTTTGAAAGAAAAAGGCAATGTGAAAAAGCTTTTGATTCGTTTTGAAAACATTTTCCAGTCCTTCGAGCAAATATTGAATCCATTAAATAATAACAAAGAAAATATAAAATGCCTATTGTGTCAAATATTATTTTAAGCACTTGAAGGAATTTTGAAAACAATTCTCTCATTCCTTATTAATTTAGGACTTCTTTATATTTATTCTTTTACATTACTTAACACAATGGAATACGCAAAAAGGAAAAAAAGTGTCTTTGACAATAAAAATGTTGTTAGAGTCCTTTTTTAAATTTATTTGTATATAAATACGTCCATATAATATATATACATACGCGTATTATATATATATATAGTAAGTCATTTTTAGAATCGTCAAAACAATTTCTCATAACATAATCCTGAAATGTTGCTAGGTGTGATTTCAAACATGATAGAAGTGAAAAAAAAAAATAACAAAGAAAATTAAATTAAAATTTTTTTTCGACAAAAAAATGCCAGATTTTTAAACACTGTAACGTTGATATTAATTAGATTCATTTTTAGACAAGGTCAGAACAATAAGAGAACAAATTTGAAAAGAAATTGGCATTCATCAGATTTACCAAAAGTGTAAACTTACTTCCAACAATAAATTATTAATCACACAAGAAATTTGTCCAATTATCTTAATCAGAGAAGGCGAAAAGTGCTTTACTATCATCTAAACAGGAGAAGTCATTGAACTAAAGTTCTTTTTTATTATAAAACATCAGATTGTTTTATTTTCGTTAATTAAGTGTACAATTTATGAAGAGCTATAAATTATTACGTATGTCTACATCGTTAAGGGTTACAATGAAAATTTTCATATCCTGGAAATGGAAAATATTTTCTTAGTTCATTAACTTGAATGTCAACGCAATGAAAATGAAAAATTTTCTATTAGCCTTTAATGTTTAATAAACTTTTATTAGATACTAAAACCTCAAAGTTTTGTTAATAGTAGGAAGATTTAATAAAAAAAATATTCTTGAAAATAATTAATTTAAAATATTTCTCTTTTTAATAAAAAAAAATGCTTCTTTTCAAATGTATGATTATTCTCTAAAGGTTTTTGCATTTAGATTTTTCTGTTATGTCTAAATTTGGAACGAAGAATTATATTCAAATTCCAATCTCACTACCTTTCATTAATTTCAATTAAGCTGAAATGAAATGAAAATATATTGGCAATATTTGGAATTTTATTGCTTGATTAAATACAATTTCGAACACAATTTGAGCAAATAACGAACTAACAGAGTCAGTGGTATTAGACCCAATGAAAAATAATTAAATTCAATTTAAGAAGTAATAAATTAGGGGCTAGTAGAATTCCAGACTTTAAAAGATTTTCATGTAATTGTCTTTCTACTCACCGATTGTGCAATGAGAAAAAAGTGATTAAATTTACTCTCGTAAAATGTATTTTTCGAGCGAGAAGAGTTTTTTGACCGGAAGGTGGTGATATTTTCGTAAAAAAAAGTCAACTTCCTTTACTTTATTTTCAAAGATGAAAAAATTCAGTCAACATTTTGAAGTCCTTACTGACGTATTGACAAAAACTGAACAAATTTAATTGAGAATTAATTGTGACTAGAAAATATGACTGTAGAGAAAAGAGAGATTCACAATCAGACTATTAATCTGTGGAAAAAAAATTTTTTGTAATTCTTTCTACTTACCATTTCTTTCGTTTTCACGGAAAAATGAACGCTTCCGTTCCTCAATTGGTATAAAATTTTCATCATCAAAATCATTTTCGTAACTCTCGCCACCACCAGCCATTTCATTATCTTCTTCATTTTGTAAATACCTTGCCAGAAGTTTATTTAATCGTCGGCGATCAGAGGGTCCTTCAGTTTCTAAAACAAAAACAATTAAATTCAAATTTTATAAATCCCCAAATATAGTATTTAATTAATTAAACGAGCAAAGTAATTCAGTAAGTAAGCATAACGGTTTTGTTGGAAAATCTTTATCGTTACAGAAAATAATGCGTACTTTTCATTTCTATATTTTTGTAAACAATTAATTGATTTTCCGTTCCAATTAACGAAGATGTTTTTTCTGTTTTATTGAGAAATAATAAACTCACAAAGCCTTTTTACTTCAATTAATTGGTAATTACTAAGGTTAATTTTAATTGCGTTTTCTATTCCAATCAAATTTATAATCACTGAAATGAGAATTAAAATTAAAAAAATTAATCCCCTGAAACTAAAATTCCAATAACTCTTTGTAAAATTCAATTTCAATTACGAACTTAGTATGTTTAGTTTTGCTTTAAGTATTCAGCCGCACGGGAATTTTCGTTGATAATAATATTTTACAAAAACTTTAATAATCGTCATGTATGTTATTTTAAAAAATACTGGCATTTAATGAGCACAAAATATTAAACCTTTGGTTGCTAATGCAACAGTAATTACTTTATTCCTCAATTGAAATCGAATATTAAAATTTTTTATTTTTGTTTTTTGTTTTTTATTCTGTAATTTCCTGTATCTTTTCAACTACTTCAAAAGCCTTATTGTTAAAATGCATATAAAAATACAAAAAGGAAATTTTTTAATAAGGGTATGCAATCAACAATAAACTATGCATGTACACACAATTCTGTATAGCTCTGCATATAGAATACAAATTTAATGTTTAATTTCAATTTGTATTTAAAAAAAAAAAAAACAAAACAAAAAACGTCCACATACTTAATTGCTTACACACAATGTACATGAGGATGTATACCAATTTACTTGTAACCACATTGCTTATCCGGCAAAAAAAAACATCTTATTATATAGTTAATACTTACCAATTCCATCCCAATAATCATCTTCATCGATGGTTACTGGTGGTGCATATCTGGTACGAGGATTATTGTAATTATCTTTTAATGCTAATTGTAATTCTCTTCTGTGTAAAGCATCAACGGCAGCTTGTAAAGAATATGGTGAATGTTGTCCCATTGTTACTGCTGCTATAGCCCACAGGACTAAACAGCAGAAAATTAATTTTTTAAAGGAGCTGCTCATTTTGTAGCCTATATGAAAATAAAACAAGAAAAAAAAAGTATTTTTATAGTAAAAATGAGTTGAAAATATTAAAAATATTTTATCATGTATTTAAATTATGCGTGTGTATAATAGGTACATACAAGTTTGTATGTATTTATGATTCATTTCGCAGGGTCTTTTATAATTTACTTTAAAAATTTAATGTTAACTTTAATATTGTATAAATAATATTGTAATTTTTTTTTAAATTTACTTTAATTTTTAAAAGAGTGGTGTGGTGATTATAATATTGCTAAAATAGTAATAAAAGGTTCTCTCTTGATCTTGTAAACTAATTATATGGGAAAAATAATAAAAATTTTCATTTAAAAATGTTGTGAGTGTAAGAACTAAAAAACCCTAAAAATATTCTAATTCAATACACCCGGGTTCAAATAATTTGAATTTATTTACTTTAAAAACTTCAACTATTTGCAAAAATTGTAAAGCAATAAAAAATATATTTTTATAAGATTAAACTTTTGTCAATAAGTTGAATTTGAAAACCCTGAAGAATGGAATAAAATTTCAAAATTACAGACATAACACTCGCAGTACTTGCAATTCTAGCACGGACGACTTGAACGACTAGAATATTTTGAAGGTTCTTATGTTTGAGTAATAATCTTAACGCATCTGATTTATAATAATTCTACCAATTAAATAAATATATAAAATCTCAATATGAATTTCCCTCATTGATGTATTAAAGTCAACTTTAAATGTCATAACACTCTGTCAATTTAAAAATTACCGTTCCATATAAATCCATGATAAAAAAAGTACAAAAATAACACGAAACGTCATTTTATGGTAAAATCCTTTGCATATGCGGATACGCCTGCACTTATGCAAAGAATTAATTTATTTCTACGTTTACTTTCATTGTTTCAACTTTAAATGTTTATAGCATGTTTAACTTTTGTTATAAAAAACTTTTAATACTTTAAATAAAAATTAAGAAAAATTCAACATTAATTACTAAAATATAAAAAAATTCTTGTTCTTGTTTTTTGTTCGACTTAAGTTTTTAATTAATTATTTTATACACATATACAGACACAAACACATTGTGCTACTATACAAAAGGAATAAAAACTTTTCCAGATATAAGAATACAAACGGTTAACTGAGAAAAAATAAAACAGAAAAAAAAAAACTTATTCTGTGAAAGATTAAAAAAAATTAATTTCTTTTTTACAATTTTATAAATAAGTTACAAAGTTATTATTCTAGTTACCCTTTAGAGAGTTATAACGGTACGTTTATCCTTTAAAAAAAAAAACGAAATACAAAACATGGAAACACATACACACGCACACATAAAAAAAAACTTGACTGAAAAAGACTTATTATTTTTTAACAACCTCTATATCACCTTAAGGACTTACACCATAAATTAATCTAAAGATTAAATTAAAATGAACGTTAGAAATAAAATTATAAAAAAGCATCAAAAGTGAAGTTGTTAAAGTAATATGAGCGTATAGTTGTACCATCTTTTATTAAGATCAAGTATGTTTTATGCTTATAATATGTTCGGACTGACTAAATTTTGTGCTCTTTTCTGGAGTTTGTTCAAAACCCACAAATAAAAATCCCTTCAATTATTGTAATTTTATTAGAATTCTCGTGTAGTCTTGCATAATAGAAAAAATTGTGTTTAAAATCTTATTTATAAAGGTATTTATAAAGTATAATAACACAATTCTAACTAATTTGAGTAAATACCGAATAACAGCCAAAATTTTTTTATTACTTAATATAAGTGTATCACTAACTGAATAGAAATTCTTATTGAATGAAAATGAACTAGAACCGCTTTTATAGTAAGAGCTGAAGTAGAGAACCACTTTTATAGTATCATAGCTGAAGTTTGATTTGAATAATAATGAATTTAAGTCAAAAAATTCTTGAGTTGTTTTTATGTCTTGTAATATTTAAGTTAAATCAACACACCTAAGGCAACTCTAGCAAACAACATTTTAATTTTCAGTCACAAAAAAATAATTTATTCTGTAAACTTGTTATTGCTCAATTTTTATTATTCCAAAATTATTTCAAAATTTTATTGCTCTATCTTTTTCAATTCCACTTTATTTTTAATTTAGCAGAACAAGCCTCACCCACAAGCTCTATTATTTAAGACTCACTATTTTTATTGCATATTTTTTAACGCTTACATTATTATAATTTAATTAACTACATTATCATAGAAGCGTGAATGTTATAGAAGTATATTATAAACTTATAATTACATTCAGTAGAAATGAATAAAAAAAACACAAGGGGAACATTTTAATTTCTATTTGTCTTGTACAAATTCCTTTTTTCGTATAATTTAAAATGTCAACTTGAGAAAAATTGAATTCACTTAAAACTTAAGAAAAAATAAAAAAGGAAAAAATATTTTTTTTTTGTTTTTTACATAATGAACACTTAAACACGTTTACATAATATTATATAAATGTATAATATATTTACGAAAAAAAATATATAGGTTTTGGGAAACCTCAAGATTTTAGGATTCAATTACATGATGATGTCACATGTAATCTTAACAGCTTTTGAATTTTGATATGAATTAATTTATGACGGTTCTTTCAAAATTCATTATCAAGTGATATCCATAATATTATTTAGATATATGTATGTTTTATCATAAAGACATATTTTTGTACATTTGTACATATGTGTAGTACACAAACACTACCCACATTATACGTATATCATTTGAAAGAAGAAAAATAATATGTGGAATAATAAGTTATGCTCTTTTGTACAATAAATCTAAAATATATACGGTTACCTTCTTTAAAATATAATAGATATAGGAGAATATTTTTATAAAATAAAGATTAAAAGAAATTTTATTGTTTGAAATGCAGTTTAAGATATTGAATATATTACACATAAATAAATACTCGTAAGGAATATTTTAAGGCAAATGGAACGGCATTGAAAATTAAATTATTTAGTAACAATAAACAAATTTTTCATATAGAAGACTATAGAGAATTCATTATTAAAAGATTTAATTTATTCATTTTTTAATGCATTGTACTCGTATGTAATGTTAAAAACCGGCAAGGGCTTAAATTTTATAGAAAATATTTAATGAGGGAATTATAAATTAAAGTGCAATATCAGTAAATTCAGCAGTATTCAATAGGAGTAAAATTTTCGGAATTTAATTGTCCGTATTTTGCGATAGAATAATCTGAATTTAAAAAAAATTTATGAGTTGACCTTAAGAGTTAAATGTTATGGCTTTACATTCATTAAAAAATTAATTTAGCAAAATATATTCAGTAATTAAGTAGAAAGTCGCAAAAAAATTTTTTTTCATTCGGCAACTGAGTTCCGTTTCAAACATTTTGGGTCATAGTCTACCAATACTTCTTAAAATTAAGAGAGCACATAATTTTATTGCGTAATTGTCTGTTTAATCTCACATTATATTAAATTTTAGAACATTTTCATAAAATAAAAATATTGTGTCTGCCTTATATACAGTTTTACCGATCTTTACTCAATAATATGGGGTCTTATTTCAGCTATTCTAGCGAGCCTTTTACAAATTATATAAAAAGCTAGACTAATGTTATGTTTTGTAGATAATTTTTTGCTTATGATTTTTTAACTAGCCTTTAAAATAATAAAATATTATTTTATTTTCTTGCAATTTCAATTTCGTTAGGTGTATTTCATATTAAAAACCATTATCAACATTTAATTGCTATCATTATTTGTTATAGAATAGCAATTATAGCAATTGTACAATTTTGTAAACCTTCTACAATCACAACAAAATTTTTCTAAAAAATGTTTTGCCTCATCTTAAAATAATTTTTAATTTCAAAATAAATATTTGGTTAAAAACGTAGGCTGTATTTTAAATTAAAATATTAAAAGAATGTATAGAAGTTTTATGATTAGAGCTCCTGAAGCAAATGTTCGAGCAGGTGTTGCTTTCAATTTGAAAGGAAATTAAAAATTCTTTTTTGATTCAAGAATATTTTTTTTTGTTTTACTTTTTTGGAATTTCTTAATTTCATTTTAATAATTACGTTCCCATTGAAAAAATTTTCATTCTTTCATTATTTTGCAATTTTTGTTTTTCCTCCTAATTCAATTATTTGGAAAGAATTTAACAGGTGTCCTGAACAGAGTGGGCGTTATAGTCTAAAATCAACAACAATTTAATTTATCAGTGTTAAAATATTTAATTAAATTTACTGTTAAATTGTTTCTTTCAATTAAATGAAATAATTTATAAATGAACTAAAAGAAAAAGCAAAATTACTTATCCTTGTTTAGAGTACATGGATGGTATAAAAACAAAATTTCATAGTTTAGAGTACATGGTATATATGAAAACAAATATTCAAATTAATTTCGTTTCTACTTCAATCTTTAAATAATAAGAAATTAATGCTTTTATGTAAATTAAGTTGACGTAAATATTATGTTTCTGTAACATTAAATAAATAAATAATAATTTATCAGACCATATTTAAAAGTTCCCAAAAACTATTAATATCAAATCATCCTATCATACTTCGAGCTTGGTGTAAAGCATTTGAAATTTAGAATTCAAATATGTTTGTATTGAAAAATTTTGGTTTAGCTATCTATTTTCTATAAGTGACTGTACGTAACAGTTTTGGTACTAATGTAAAGTAAATATATTAGTATCAAAATGTTTCCATTGAGAGAAATTTCGATCAGTGTTTATTTGTTCTAAAAAAACAATATGATTTTAGTCATAGAGGGACTCTTGAACTTCCACATGGCTTTTACTTATTAAAAGCAGTATTTTATTCCTCATATATTCTCCAAAAAAATGCTGCAAACCAAATACTCAGTACATTCTTGATTCTTGTAAACAAAAATTAAAGAAGTTCCGTCAGATTTCGAAAATAAATAAAGAACATTGAATATGTTATCTGTACAAAAATCTTCAAAATTACGAGTAGTAACCCTA